AGAGAGAGGAGGAGAGGGAGAGAGAGGAGAGAAGGTGAGACTGAGAGAGAGAGAGAGAGAGAGAGAGAGAGAGAGAGAGAGAGAGGCGGGACACGGTGCCAGAGGAGAGGGATGGAGCGGGCGCCGGTAGCCCGGCTCCGCAGCCTCGAGACGCACATTACAGGCAAACGTGTGATATCTCATAGCAAAACATTTCCTCGGTAACGAATAACGATACATTCAGCGAGCACGTTTCGGGAATCAAGGCGACTTTGTAACTTTTTGGAAAATAAAGACCCCCTCAAAATTCCTTTAGAAAATGCATCGCGCCCGTCATGATGTCATCGCGGAACGCCGACACGTGCAGAAATCCTGCCGTCCTCACCAACTGGGCGCGACGGATGGTCGCCAGGGCCGCCGGGTAATGACTCAATCCCCGTCGGATGACCCAACGAAAAACCGGGCCTTCAAGCGGGATTCGCCCATCACAAAACCATAGTGGGGGTGGCCAAGGACACCCAGCGAGGCCCAGCCCGGCGAGACGTCCGTCCGGAGACTCTTCATAGCCCCTGCTGGCACGAGGGGCCAACAGGCCCCAAGCATGTGCCGCCCTGTCGTGACTCCGACGGGCGCTAAATCAGCTGACGACGGCTCCTGCACCAGCACTCGATGACTCAACGCCGGGCTGACTCACACTCTGGCAGTCGCAGCAGTGTTTAACGGCGAGTTGGATGACTCTTGACTACACCCGGCGCCAGCCGACACCTGGTCCAGTTCGTCCCGCGATGACTCTGACTCTTCCTCGCACCTGACGTGCACTTAGCATGAACTGCCTCAGCCCCCCCCCCCCCCTCAACAGACCCGGCAGCTATGACCTTTTGCCCCGTAGGTCGCTGTCGCGTTACGACCAACCAACGCGCGTCGCCACTGCACCCACCGACGGCATCTCTAAAGTGCATGACTAGCCAGATAGCCCGTGACTCGTGGCATGACTCACCCCCACACACTCGGGCTCCAGCCGCAGAGAGGAGCGGGAGGCCGACTCCGACTCGTCCCGCCCGCCTGAGTCAGAGTCGGAGTCGGAGTCGGAGTCGCCGTCGTCGGCCGCCGGGCGCGCCAGCGAGAGCAGCACCTCCGTGCCGGCCAGTCGCAGCACGTGCAGCACCTCCTGAGGCAGCGGCCGAACCCCCACGTCATTCCCCGGCCGGTTGACACCTGACCGTTATCATACACATCAACGCAACGGCCCGGTCTATTTGGCGCGAAAGCCGCGCGAGTGGATGCATGCAGGTGCCTGGGGGCATATACGTGTCAGCGAGTGCCAACGCTGGCGCGCGGTTCGTGTGAAACTCGCAAACTGCGAAAGATGCGCGTACGTCACCCCGCAAGACACGATCCTTCCGATTTGAAGACGTACGGCTCGCGCGCTGGCTGGTATATCGCAAAGTATGTCACGCACAGGCGCCAAGTATAGCACGCACATCTGGACCGCTCCACTCCTGTTATGAAAACGACGGACCGAGCGTGGTGGGCAGTGCCAAATGGGTCGGCGCGTCGGGAATATGTCGCTTGCATCTTATGCAGATGCAACACGAGCCGTACTCCGGCAAGCAGATGCCTCTAGACACGTCCATGCCAACACAAAGTCTTAAAAACGAAGAGCAGTTCATCTCGCTCATAAAAGAGCAAACACAAATGCCTGCAAACGCCAGGGGCGCTCTACAAAATAGCAACAGACGGACGGAGACAACGCCGTTCTGGGGGCATACAGCATGCACAGGACAGCCTGTGTAGCCTGTATAGACAGCCTGACAGCCTGTATAGCTGCCTCAGGACAACGCCGTCCTGGGGGCAGACTTCTCGGCGTCCACAGTCATATCGGATCAAAGTATACCTTCCACTTCCAGGAGCTGCTGAAGGAGGACTACTTCCCATCGCTACACTACAGATATTGCACTACATTTCACGAACACAAACTGCTGCGGAAGACTTACTTCCCATCGCTACACTACAGATATTACACTACATTTCACAAACACAAATTGCTGCTGAAGACTTACTTCCCATCGCTACACTACAGATATTACACTACATTTCACAAACACAAACTGCTGCTGAAGACTTACTTCCCATCGCTACACTACAGATATTACACTACATTTCACAAAAACAAACTGCTGGTGAAGACTTACTTCCCATCGCTACTCTACAGATATTACACTACATTTCACAAACACAAACTGCTGCTGAAGAATTACTTCCCATCGCTACACTACGGATATTGCATTACATTTCGCAAACATATACTGACTTTCGTCAGAGCAGAAAGAAAACAAAATGGCCTTTCCCCCTGGCCCATAACTACTGATCGGCTAGCCAGTAAACACCGCGCTTCTGCCAGCTAACTCCTGATGACCTGGACCGTGGCAGCAGTACTGACATGGACGGAAAGGCCCCGGTGGCGGCAGTACTGACCTGGACGGAGAGGCCCCAGTGGCGGCAGTGCTGACCTGGACGGAGAGGCCCTGGTGGCGGCAGTACTGGCCTGGACGGAGAGGACCCGTTGGCAACAGTACTGACCAGGACGGAGAGGCCCCGGTGGAGGCAGCACTGACTTGGACGGAGAGGCCCCGGTGGCAACAGTACTGACCAGGACGGAGAGGCCCCGGTGGCGGCAGTACTGGCCTGGACAGAGGGGCCTCGGTGGCGGCAGTACTGACCTGTACGGAGAGGCTCCAGTGGCGGCAGTACTGACCTGGACGGCGAGGCCCCGATGGCGGCAGTACTGACCAGGACGGAGAGGCCCCGGTAGCGGCAGTACTGACCTGGACGGAGAGGCCCCGGTGGCGGCAGTACTGACCTGGACGGAGAGGCCCCGGACGGGCATGTCGTTGACGCGCAGCAGTACGTCTCCCGGCCGGATGCAGCCGGTCAGCGCCGCCGGCTGGTGCGGGAAGACGCGCTTCACGCGCACGTGGCTGGGCCAGGCGGGCGCCGCACTCTCCACGCTGAGGCCGAGACCGCGCGAGCCGCGCGTCACCGTCACGTCCCAGCTGGCCGCTGCCGGCACCGTCAGGTCAGGTCAGGTTAGGTTAGGTCAGGTCAGGTCAAGGTGACGCCCGCTGACGCCGTCACACGGGTCACAGCCCGGGCGCCGGTGGCGACGACGGACCGAGGTGCCCGGGGCGGGCTGATGACAGCTGACGAGGACGTCACACGGCATACCTCAGCGCCAGCCCAGAGCGCCACGGCCTCCAGCGTCCGCTGGCGTGTTCACCACCAGGGGACAGTAGAGGCATAGCCAATCGTGGCAATAACGGGCGGCGAGAAGCTCCTCCGATGCACCTCAAGCCGCGCATGGCGACGCAGTGACAACACGGTATTACTTATCACATCAGCCGTGAGAGCACGCACACACCCTTTTAACGGTACACAAAATCAGCACGACGACCGCGACGGCAGCCTCATGTGATGACGTCACGGCCTCGTGTGATGACGTCAAAATGCATCCTATGACGTCGCAGCTCAGGACAGTGTCTGACAAATGCGCCACAGCAGCCGACACCGAGCCGGGCGAGCCTAGCGTCGGCTCCCGAACGGCCGCCTCACGCACCTTCGCGGGGCGCGGCGCGCCGCCGGCTCTGGCCGCTGCCCTCGCGGTGACCCCTGGACGACCTCTCGTCCTGCAGCGGCTCCAGCCAGATGTCGCTGCCGCGCAGGTTGATGCTCATCCCGAACCTGGCGGCGCCGGCACACACGTCCGTCACACGGGAGCGCGGAGGCTGATGCTCATCCCGAACCTGACGACGCAGGCACGCACGTCCGTCACACGGGAGCGCGGAGGCTGATGCTCATCCCGAACCTGGCGGCGCCGGTACACACGTCCGTCACGCGGGAACGCGGAGGCTGATGCTCATCCCGAACCTGGCGGCGCCGGTACACACGTCCGTCACGCGGGAACGCGGAGGCTACTACACCGGAAGAGGCGCTCCTGATCACACCTGAGAATGTGGAACACTCCACACATCAGCCTTCTCCGGGCAGTAAAGACCATGGCACGACTGCACACAAGCTACGTTCGGTTCCGGCCGCCAGAAGTTTTCGCGTGCCCGTCTCCCAAAAAGATGAGAGAGGCATCACGCCCTGACGTAACCTGAGCGGTCGGTATGTAACCGCAAGATGACGCGTTCGATTCTTGCCAGCGGCAGCTTTCAATGGTGCACCTGCCGATGGTGCAACAGCTACAACGTCGGCAAGCTCCGTTAGAGTGGTACCATCAACGGCATGAGCGCCCGCGGATGTCCGTGTTAAACTGATGTAGTTCGTATCCAGTGTTCGCCTGTGTGAACTCGCGCCCAGCGCTGGTCTGACTCGCGCCCAGCGCTGGTCCGACTCGCGCCCAGTGCTGGTCCGATTTGCGCCCAGCGCTGGTCGGACTTGCGCCCAGCGCTGGTGCTGTCAGACAGCAGTCCCGATCCGTCCACCCCAGCCTGACCAGCTGGGCCGCAGATCACTACCGCATGCCCTTCAGCAGACTCTGCTTGCGCTGGTGACAGTCCAGCGAAGCGGCCCAGCAAGGGTGATGGTGGCGCGCTGCTTAATAATGGTCGGGCTCCACTGGCTGGTCGATCGAAGGACCGGGCAGCGTTTATCGAGCCGAGTGTGGCGGGGTGCTTCGTCGGTGGTGTGGAGTCCAGCACTAGCCGGGCTTATGCCAGACATGTCACGACACACACGACCGAACGGCAGTGAGACAGGTCATGTCTGGTGAGACAAATCACGTCTGGTGAGGCAAATCACGTCTGGTGAGACAAATCACGTCTGGTGAGACAAATAACGTCTGGTAGGCAAATCACGTCTGGTGAGACAAATCACGTCTGGTGAGACAAATCACGTCTGGTTAGGCAAATCACGTCTGGTGAGACAAATCACGTCCGTCGAGACAAATCATGCCAGGTTGGGCAAACCACGTCTGGTGAGACAAATCACGTCTGGTTAGGCAAATCACGTCTGGTGAGACAAATCACGTCTGGTTAGGCAAATCACGTCTGGTTAGGCAAATCACGTCTGGTGAGACAAATCACGTCTGTCGAGACAAATCATGTCTGGTTGGGCAAACCACGTCTGGTGAGATAAATCACGTCTGTCGAGACAAATCATGTTTGGCGAGACAAATCATGTTTGGTGAGACAAATCATGTTTGGCGAGACAAACCATGTCTGGTGAGACAAATCACGTCTGGTGAGGCAAAACATGTCTGGTGACACAAATCACGTCCAGGATACAACAGAGACCAGGATGCAACACATGACGAAGTGCATCATGTTCTGAATCCAACTGACCATGATACGGCAATAGAGTTAAGATAACCTCCTTATTATAATTATATAAGTTATATTCGTTAAGTAAGCGGTAGTTTTTCTATCAAATGGCCATTAATCGTCTGCAGCGCACCGCTGAGGGTAATCCAGCTTACTCTCTTTCTAGGGCCAAAATCTCCAAAAATAAGCGCAGGAGCTCGGCTCGTGCCTACAAAGCCCTACTGTTAATTCTAATGGCATATCAACTTGCATTGCTCAATGACGTCTCTGGTCGCACCTCGTTAACCGGTACCGCCCAGTAACACCATTTCGAAATAGGAGACGAACATTTAGCACCCACAATGGGCCTCGCGCAAAAATAGGACATCCGCGCTCCGGTTGATACACAATACCCCCCGCGGCCCCCTCGGCTGTCTGTTCGTGTCGGAGCGGCGCCTCGCCAGCGATTGAGGCGCGGTCAGGGCCGGCAGTTTGTGTTGGACGGGTCTCCCTGGCTGGCGGCTAATCACCATGTCTACCCGCCCCGCTCCACAGGCGCCCGGCTGATGCCACCAAAGGTCAGCAGAAGCAGTGATTCACATGAAAAACCGTGTGATCCCGCCGACCTATACACCTTCTCCGGACCGTCCACGATGACTGGATTAAGGCCTACACCGTGGAAATTCTGTACAAAACTTCATTTTATATACCGGTTATTAATCAAAACGTCCCCGGTTTTTCTGAGCCCCACTGGACTAGCGCCTTTCATCCGTTTTCGTTGTATTTACGAACTACACTTACGACGCAAGCACGACCTTGTTTCTATTCTTTTTGAACCCGTGTCGCAAATGCTAATTCAAAATATGAGAAGCATCTGTTCCATCCATATACCAACTCAACATGTCCCCAGCAATGTCCCTCCAGTGGCCGGGACGTCCCGTTTGTATTACATCACGCTACTCTGTGATAATGCGCCCGTCGACATGCCCCAATATATAGCTTCCACATTGTCAGGCCGCACTGCACTGAGATACTGCACCCGCCGGCAGGTCCAAATATATAGCTTCCACATTATCAGGCCGCACTGCGCTGTGATTACTGCACCCGCCGGCATGTCACAATACACAGCTTCCACATTATCAGGCCGCACTGCACTGAGATACTGCACCCGCCGACAGTCACAATACAATATCAGGCCGTGCTGCACTGAAATACTGCACCCGCCGAATGTCCCAATATATAGCTTCCACATTATCAGGCCGCACTGCGCTGTGATACTGTACTCGCCGACATTGTCTTATATATAGCTTTCAAATTATCAGGCCGCACTGCACTGTGATACTGCACTCGCTGACATGTCCCAGTATAAAGCTTCTACATATCAATAAACAGGCTTGCGAGCTCGAAGCCGTGCCGCCATAACAATATGCTATGAAAAAATCCCGTCACGTTGGCCGCACTTACCCACCTAGACGAACAGCAGGTGTTACCTGTCGGCCGGATTCAGTCGCGGGTGTTACCTGTCGGCCGGGTCCGGCCGCGGGTGTTACCTGTCGGCCGGGTCCGGTCGCGGGTGTTACCTGTCGGCCGGGTCCGGCCGCGAGTGCTACCTGTCGGCCGGGTCCGGTCGCGGGTGTTCCTGTCGGGGATCCAGTCGCGGGGTGTTACCTGTCGGGGGTCCGGCTACGGGTGTTACCTGTCGGCCGGGTCCGGTCGCGGGTGTTACCTGTCGCCGGGTCCGGTCGCGGGTGTTACCTGTCAGCCGGGTCCGGTCGCGGGCGTTACCTGTCAGCCGGGTCCGGTCACCGGTGTCACCTGTCGGCCGGGTCCGGTCGCGGGTGTCACCTGTAAGCGGGTCCGGTCGCGGGCGTTACCTGTCAGCCGGGTCCGGTCACCGGTGTTACCTGTCGGCCGGGTCCGGCTGCGGGTGTTACTGTCGGCCGGGTCCGGTCGGCGGTTTGTTACCTGTCGGCCGGGTCCGCCTGTGGGCGTTACCTGTCGGCCGGGTCCGGCTGGGGCGTTACCTGTCGGCGGGTCCGGCTGCGGGCTGTCCTCCTCATCCAGGCGGTAGGCTCGCTGGCGAGACGGCGACGCGTCGGCGAGTGTCTGCTTGCGCGGACACAGCACGTCGGCGTACGTGCAGAGCAGAATGTTCTGCTTGCGACGAACGCAGTCCACCATGGCTGGGTCTGCCGCGTCACTGGAACACGGAAATGACTTGTGACAACACTGCGATGGGAGACGGCGTTGTGACGTCACCGCAATAGAGCGCAAACAGTTGCGCTACGCCGCTGGAGCGGCAGGGTTCGGAGGCATCGCTGAAACAAGACTATTATGCGGTTGTCCGGTCGGCGCCTGAAGGCGTGGCGTCACCCGAACGGGGGACGGGTCGAGGCGTCGTCGGAACGTAGCACGGCGACTGGACCAGCGAACGGTTCTGTGGCGCTACGGGCAGGGAGCAGTCTTTGAAGTCAGTAGACGGGGCAGCGCTGGGAGTAGTCAGTAAGCATACCATGGCCAGCTGGTGCCGTCACCCGCCCGCATGACTGCACGAGCTATTTTGGCGCCAATGACGGCAGTGCCGAACAGGGCGGGGCGCGGTCAGAACAGGCAGCCGCCTGCGAAGCTTCTGCCGATGGAGCGCTAAGGCCCCGCCGCCGACGCATAACCCGCCACCACCACTAGAACGACTCTCAACCAGGTAACGCCACCCTAATGACCAGCGACATCCCACGAGCCGATCACGCCCCGGCTGCCGGGCGGTTCCGGCATCCCGGCCTTCGGTGTTGATGTTAGCAGGAGCAGCCCCGTTATCAGGGTCAGCGGGCTGGCCGGCGCTCGATCGGCGCCGATGCCGCAGCAGCCCAGGCTGCGGCCGAGCCCTCAGGCGGAGGCACAAGCTGAGACCGAGACAATGGAGGGTATGCCGTGCGAGCGCAGCCACGGCGCGCGCGCGTTGAGGGCGTGCAATTGGTCGTGAGCACGCATACCGCGGTCGCTCACTGGAGCTTAGCACCCGGCGCCGGCGGCCCGACGGGACCGTGACATCGCGGGGAGTCCCCACGAGACAATGGACCTGGCGGGGGGCGGCCTCACGAGACCGCGACCTAGCGGGGGGGGGGAGTCCCCACGAGACCATGACCTGGCGTGGGGGCAGGCCTACACGGGCCGCGACTAGCGGGGGGGGGCGTTCCCCACGAGAATATGACAATGGCGGGGGGCGGCCTTACGAGACCGCGACCCAGCGGGGGGGGGGCGGGCGTCCCCCACGAGACTATGGACCTGGCGGGGGGAGTCCCGTGAGACAGTGATCTGGTCGTGAGCGTACCCACGAGACGTGATCTGGCGGGAGCGTCCCCACGGGGGAGTCTCCACGCGACCGTAACCTGCCGGGAGCGGCCTCACGAGACCGTGACCTGGCGGGGGCGCCCCAAGAGACCGGCCGGGGACGTCCCCACGCGACATGGTGGGGGCTCCCCCCACGACACAGTGAACCTGGGGGGATTACCCAGAGATCATGACTGGCCTTGGCCATGGGACGAAGCAACAGCGACCTGACAAGATGGGTAAGGTGGCTCTGTGTTCGGGCGTCCGCCCAGATGGCTGCACACAGCCGGAATGATTGCGTCAATTCGACCCGAGAGAGCATCCGAATCGTCCAGAGAGCTGTCAGTTCGCCAGAAGGGCCGTCATGCCGTCCAGCAGATCATAACAGAATCAGTCGATGGGTCACGTTAGATCGC